TACTACTAGTAAGGCACTTGTTACTACTAGCGATGCACTTGTTACTAGTAGCTTCTTGTTACTACTAGTAAGGCACTTGTTACTACTAGCGATGCACTTGTTACTAGTTACTAGTAGCTTCTTGTTACTACTAGTAAGGCACTTGTTACTACTAGCGATGCACTTGTTACTACAAGATCTCTGTGCCAAGTTCTTACAATCTCTGACCAACCACTCATCGGACCTGTTGCGTATCCACCATTTTCGAGCTTCCTCCGTAGCTTGCGCATGAGGGAAACTACGTGAGGCAGTTGCAGTGAGATGCCAAAAAGCCAACCACAGGATCCTTCTCAATCCCTCCGTGTCTTCAGACTGAACATCTGCTCTGAGTCAGTACTTCTCATCGAAGATGTGTGCCGACCTCATCATCCCTTCCATGCCTTTTGAAGGACTCAAACAGGCAGCTTGTATAACGAAGGGAAGGAAATGCCGTGATGCACAGGTAAACTCAGGTAGACTACAAAGCAATATAATATAGACCCCAATACCTATACGTACCTGCACTATGTTGGACTGCTGTTGAAATCGGAAACTTCTTGGCACCAACAGCGCCCTGGTTTCAGGGTACAGCCTACAACTGCCTTTTCTTGGTGAAACACTCGCACAGCACGTGCTTTGGAATGCCAGAAGAGGGTCAAACAACAGGATGCAGATTAACAAAATCATACAAAATGTATCTGACTCACAAAAACATACAAAAAAACAGCTTCCTTGGGTCAGAACAGCTCTGTCAACCGGCTTCAACAAGTCTTCACCCAAATTGAACGACCCCAAATTGGCTCTAGACCGGCGCCCGGTCATGTCGGCCGCTCACCCTGCACACATGGGGGGAACTGAGAAAAATTGCGAAGGTTTCCACAAAGTCAGTCTGAATCAACCTCCCGATGCTTCAGCCCTAAATGCTTCAGCTTTCCCTAGCAATCCAGAGGTCATACCATAGACGAAAAGACGGCCGAGACTTGAAACATCTGTATCAGTATGTCTCAGTCATTCTCGCTCTCCATGTCTCTACTCTTCGAACTGATTTCGCCTGCCGGATCTTCTTCACGAGATTTTTCTCCGCGTGTTGGCGCCAGAAGTTCTGGATGAGCTTCGCCTGGCTCCCCGAGAACTTCTCGACCGACCCCACCGACCCCCACGATTCGGTCGCGCCTGCTGCTTCCGCACCACCGCCGTTCGCAGGTGGATGACGCGGCGCATCTTGGGGAGACTGCGGGAACTTTTTGCGCGGGGAGCTGAAGGGGCGTGGGGCGTGGTAGATGACCTCAGCTCTAAGTACTAGCATGCACAAGTCCATTGTACAGCTCATAGCTCCAGAAAGTGTGGTCACCTATCGGAAAGGAATTGGATGGAGATCAGAGTCCATGAACCAAAGAGGCTTGATGGAAGGTTCACAACACAGAAAAACTATGACAACTTTTTAACTGTTTGTCCTTTCAATTGTCAATACAAGTAATTGCAGTCATTCTCATTCTCTCAAGCTGGACATAGCTGGACTGCTCCTCAGCCAGCGCCGGTAGATCTTCTGGATCAAGAGCACCTGTCAGCATAGCTGCGACAGCTTGGAACTTTCGGCACAGAGCAGATCGCCCCAAACCCAGGCGGCCCAGGGTTTTTCCAAGCACTGCACGGTTTTTACACGAGATCAATCGAGAAAAGAACAAGTTTGAAGAAATTCAGATGAGAAGAAGCCTTGGGTAGCCGTCCGTGCCTTCTTCCTCAGCCTGGCCATCCGTCTCCTAACCAAGAACCTTAGCATGGCACATACAAAGACTCTCCCATTCCAACGACAATTCCTTGTGTTTCTTGCAGAGAAGGCATGAGCAGCTTGTGAAATCAATGAGCAAAATATAAATCGAAGTTCCGCCAAACTACGCTGTGAAATCGATTTTTTTCCCCATGGCACCATGGTGTCTTCCCACAAGGATGTGGGGAAGACACCGAGTGCAGTGACCTCAATCTTTTTTCGATACGCGCTGGAGCCCCCCTTGCGCAAGATCATGCAGCTCCTGTCGCGCAAATCAAATATCGATGCCGGAATCCCACGGGCATGACTCTCCCTGCCTTTTTAAACGCCTCTGCACGCTCTGGTCACTCGTATTCTAAAGAAACTTATGATGTTGCTTGGCCCATAATCCTGAAGTTGCTGCCTCTTCTGAATTGACACAGAATTTGTGCTTGGTCCATAACTATGTGTCTTCCAACCGTCTTTCATTGTCACGTCCCCCAACCTCAAGGATGTGTGGAAGTGGCAAAGGCACCCAGCAAGTTTCGCAAAGATCAGCACTGGTCTCGTAGGTCCAGGCCTTGGAGATCCCGACAGGACGAAGACAGGAGCGAACACGAAGAACGTCGAGAGAACGGAACAGCTCAGAAGACGATAGTTCAAAGCAAGGTGGGATCTTTTGACGGTGCCACGAGAGAGCCCTGAGGTGAATCCATTCCCGGCACTCGTTCTTCGAAGATTCCCGCCAAAGCTGGGCAACCCTGACACTTGGAAGCAGCTGATACCGGCGCCTGGTACGGCTGGAAGAACCCCCAAGAACAGTCACCGTCCCGGCCCAAACAAACCTCAGTGGCCTCACCTCAGCCTGTGACCGTTCAAAAACAAACACGGATCTTTCGATACGTCCCGTGGACATGTGGTTTCTGTCTTTGGGTCGTTGAAAGTGGTGATGTGACCATGTCGTATTAAAGACCCAGAACCACTTTCGTTGATACAAAGACTCGCTGCGTCTCTGTGAGCATTTCAGGCTGCCGGAACGAAATGATCATGCAAAATCCATCCAAATTCGAGGCCCAGAGTTCATGTCCAATCAACTGTCACTTGGACGGAGCGAAAGAGCCAGCAGCCAAGTTTGGGCAGTGTCGACTAAGTCCAACACATGTCTGCCAGCACCCTCAAAAGCTGCCGCCACATCTGCTCTTTCTCACAAGCAGCAAGTGCAACTTTGAAACCTCAGCTGAATCTGTGCCAGCAAATTAAACTTGTGGGTTCATGAGGAACTATGCATGTCCATCAATATCATCAATTGTGAGCGGGTTGAACCATTGAACCACTTCAGGTCTGGTCTTTTCTTCACCGATGCTTTCATCGCCGGCCGAGTTGCTGAGCTCATCGGCTGAGCTTTGCAAGTCCCCCAGCAACTGTACGGCCACTGACCACCTGTCAAGGAGTCGAGACCCCAAAAACCATCCTTTCGCCGACCGTCGGAGCTCGGATCTGTTCCGCCAGTCAACCGGCACGGAAGGAGCTACCCAGCTACCCAGAGCTACGAGCATCCCAGCTTTCTCAGCCCACCAGTAAACCGGCACTAGAGAAAGGGCAGTGGCACGACACCACAAGTTGCTAGAAAAGTAAAGAGAAACAAAACAAAACATAAAACACAATATGCTACCATCAAACAAAATCTGACTGCAGTTGCCGCCGTTTGAAGGAAAGAATGCTCCACGGCACCTGCAGCACTTTTCACATCCATCGATCGTTGCATTGTACGAGATCACGTCTGGCTGGAGGCGAATCCTTTGAGATGAATCGGACAAAATGAGGCGAAACGAATCGAAACGCAACCATCGTTCGCGTCCTACACAGCGCTGCATGGAATGCAGAAGCTTGATTAGTGAAATCCCCATAGAAAGAGGTCTCAAGAGTCTGCATTTTGCATGGCAAGCCTCCTCCACTATGACACTATGAGTCACTCCATGTCATGTTGTCCTTCTACGTCTGCAACGTATCTGATGTCGCACGTCAGACGTCACGATGACAGTATCACAGTACCAATACAAGCCAGTGGCCTGGCGTCACAGTGACAGTATCTAGATCTGGGATGATTTGGAGCAGTGTCCCATCAGCCTGGACACACACCTGCACAAGTGAAAGGATGGATGTGACGTGATTGGTTCGTACGATTTCTGCACTGCAGAAAGTTGCGGCTTCCATGAGCAAATGACTACAGCTTCACAATCCGATAGTAGCTCCTTCCGGCCAGGTGTTGCAAATAGGGGATGTGAGATCACATCATGGGGATGCAAAAGGGAGAAATGGAAGCAACCGCTTCAAAGCATGATGTAGGTCAAGCTCAGGCATGAGACCTAAGTTACGAGATCTTTGGAGTATATTTTTGTATTGATGCATAAGTTACAAATCTATCAGGCGGGCCAGCCTGTGTTTGCAACCCACGCATGCTGATGATTGACGATCTTTCGGCGTACTTGCTGTTTTGCATGTTTTTGCTAATTTGCTAGTGGCGGCTGTTGCACCAACAGCTTGCATAAGATTCTCCCCGGTTGCACGTGTTTCATCATGTTGGAAGGTGTCCATAATGGTCTCCGCTGACAGGTTCTGTGTCTTTCACTTGGTGTCTTCCACATGGCCAGATCTTGGGCCGTGACCTGGGCATGTTCCCCAGAACTTCCACATTGAGGCGCCAGTCCAAGGCCCTCCCAGCAGCAGCGATGGCCGCATTTTGCGTCACCAAGTCCTCAACTGCGGTGAACAGTGCGCTGGGCCGAAGTGGGGGGAGCCGCCGAAGGGGTCATGCTTTTGGCTGAAGCAACCTTTGAAGATCAAGGTGGTCATTCATCTGTCACCCGGAAGTTTCACCAAGCAGTGCAAATGGTCATGTTTCTTTCTGTCTGTATCTATATAACGTATATAACTAAATATACATATTATATCTATTTATATATATATAGTATATAAGTAAGGCATTGACCAGCATATAGCCCACCAGCATCTTAACCCGGACTTGGCGGCCCGTGCGTTGGACGAAGATGCTAAGCGAATGGCATGATGCCAGGCAGAGGCCTCCGATGGGCTTGGAGTGAAGCCATTGAATGCATGAGCGAAGCCGATCCAAGTG